GCTAGTGTCTGGAGACGAGTTTGTGTGCATGTGTGTGTATGACTGCGTATTTAACAAAGCTTGTGGGTACGCCACATTAAACTATTTATGTAAAAATATTCCTTATTATCAGAGCTGGGTAGATTACTTACAAATTGTAATCCGTTGCTGATTCCAAATGATATGACAAAAATTGTAGTTAGTAATGTAATTCATTACATTAGACATTTCAGGTAATATAATCAGAATACTTTTTGATTGCTTTTATATTACTTTTGATGTAACTTGTTTTTCACATGGATTTAAATAGTATAATCTTGTACCATATTGATTGAAAAATACAAAAGTGTACATACAAAATACAAAAGAAAATATAATCCGTTTGTGGCAATTAACAACATAAAGTGCATTAAAAATTACATTACATAAGGTTTCCCAAACTGGGGTTCATAAAGGTACTGCAGGGGGTTTGTGAGTTTAATGAAAAGCTAATCATTAATTAAATCATAAAAATTTTGAATTAAAATAAATCACTTTAAAATAACTTCCAAAAAATGAATTGTTTTATTTGTTTACCTATATGTCATGTGAGCATTAACCAATGTCAGAGAACCCGTGAACATACAAATGTGATACTTCATTATTGAATATTTATTTTTTAAAAATCAGGGGTACTTCAATTAAATATATTAGGTGAAAGAAGTTCAGATGACAAAAAAATTAGGGAATGCCTGCATTACATGTAAATTAGAAATAATGTGAATTTGTGCATGTTAATGTGTTTGAAAGACAAAAGCCTTCCAAATTCAAAGCAATACATTATTAAATAACCCTCTGAGTGATAATGCAAATAAAAATTAACATGTTCATTAGTAATGGATTTAACACCTGAAACACCTGAAACACCTGAAATTATTTTTGTAAATCCAGTGGTCAAATGCTGTGTAGCCACCCGACTAATGAGTAGTCTTTGTGTGAATGTCCACAAAACGGGAAGACTATATATATATATATATATATATATATATATAAGCGGTATAGGCTACTTTAGAAAGGAACATTTAAAAGATGAAAAAGAGGAATTAGGGAGAATCAATAACTTATGAATAATGTGTGAATAATCATGTAATCAATAAAAAAGTAACTGTAGTCTGATCACGAGTATTTTAAAATGTAATTTAATTTAATTACAAGTATACTTAATTTTTGGAATCTGATTACGTAATCCAGATTACATGTAATCACAGGGTGTCCGCGGTTCCTTAAAAAGTCTTAAAATGTCTTAAATAACGTTTTCCTAATAATTAATCTCATAACATTATTTATTGCAGTTGTAATTATTGTTATTTGCAGTGTAAATTATTTAATCTGACTGGTAGCAGCTCTATAGTGTATATTGAATTTATTGATCAGTTGTAAGATGTAAGATGATGCATACATCTAAATGACATGTAAGATGATGCATACATCTAAAAAGGTTAAAAATAGGCCTTTGTAAAGGTAAATATGCTAATTTAAATATGTAAAAGCTGATAGAACACTGATGAAAATATTGCTTCAGAATAAATTTACTCCACCAAAAATCTCAGTGATGCAGTTATTTTGTGGGGATATTTTGTATGGAATATTGTCTGCTGACATGAAAAGTTCACTGTATATCATAGTAATAAATACAGTTTATTACAGCATTGATATTTAGTTTTTTTTTTTAATTTATACACATTAAATATTACATATATGTATGTAATAA